AACTTTGAGTAACAATATTATCTCCTTCTTGAGGCCTTTGTGAAAACTAAGTGAATGGATACCTGAAAAGCAACAAGACCATTCTGCACACTCTGGGTAACGTTCATCCTCATTGTCACTGTTGCTATTTCCTGATACCACGAAGTTAGTAAAAGTCCCAACAAGATTCCGTGCCAGGAATACACAGAAAGCTATTCTGAGTCCTGCTGGGGCACTGATGTACTGTTCCCAGACTCTGCATAGAAGAGGAAATGGACAATGATAAAATAAACCTAATGTTCCAGGCAGACAGGAAAGAGAACATCCAGGTGTGCCAGACAAGGAGGCCTGGAAGGGCAGGCTGTGCTTGCAGGTCAGAAGAACCGTGGGCATTGTTAGAGGACTGGAAACACACATGTTTCTAGGGTTAGAAACCCACATGGGGACAGTCACACCAACGCGTAGGGGCCTTTTTTTCTGAAGGTAACAGAACATGGTGAATAATATGATCAAGCCATCTTCCATCCATCAGGGGACTGGAGGGGTCATAGCTGAAGGTGGGGAGATCTGTTAGGAAGCTTCCTAGCAGCCTTGGCAAGGCGTGAAAATCAGCTGAACCAAGGTAGGGACTGCTGAGAGAAGGGGCACACAGCTCAGAGGCCACCAGCACAACAGCAGACATGGCATTAAAGGCCTGAGGCAGAAGCCCAGGTGCAAATACCTCAGCCTCTAACACTGTCACCTGGAACATGAATGCCATCTCTTAAGAGCTTCTGTTGTGTACAAAGAAGTAGTGATGCTTCCATCATAAGATTCTTATAAGATTCAAAATGTGTGATGTGAGTGGCAATGATTTGCAATTTGGAAAGGTTTTTATAGATGTACAATTTACTGTCTCCAAAGTCAAATTCTTTCTCAGAATGATTTGGGATGAAAACCTCAAGAATTGGGAACTCCACACTATTCCAGTGATAGAAGACTCTCACTCCAATAGCTATTAATATAATTTATTTTTCTCAGGTAGATCCTTTTCTTAGAAAGACCTTCTCATTATCTTTCATTTTTTTCCAAAAGAAAAAAATCTGTATCTTTGGTTTTTAGACTGTCCACCCTGGCTTGCTTGGTCCATTTTATTTCCAAAACAAACAAAAAAATAACTCACATTAGACTAAAAATTATGATAAAAATTAAATAGTAAATTAAGTATAGATTTGTAGGGTAGGTACGTGGTCAGAAGGGCCATGGGAAGGTTTCATCCTGCAGGGATCTTTGGTGGTGGTCAATAGATGGTCATGTCCCCAAGAAAGAGAGAGCTAAACTGCCCACAAATCATTACCTGGCCTATGTAATCAGACAAGCTCAAGTCTGATGAGAGAATGCACCGTGAGTCAGTACCACAGAGAGTCTGGAGGAACCACCAAGGCAGAGTCCTGCTCTCAGAGGGAAGGCTGGCTCCTCCCAAGGCTGGACACCATGGCACCATCATTGCTGGACATCCTGGTGCTTCCTCCCAGGCACCTGTGGCTGTCTTCTTGCGTGGTTGTTCCCTCGGGAGACAGAATCACCCAGATCTTGAGGATCACCAGGCACATGTTCTGCATTGACACTGATCTCTAGGGAAAGCCACTGTGATTTGTTGTCAGCAGGGAAGGTTAGAGAGCAGAGGGCCTCTCATATCAGGCCCACAGAACTACTTTGGGGGAATGTTCACGGTCACCAGCGATGTAATTGATTATATGTACCAAGCAGCTGGCAGATTCTTTGAACTGGTTACCTGATGGAAGGTAAGCAGGGCCAAGTAGATGTCCCTGGGATATCGGCACACTGTCTGCAATCAGCTAGTAAAAGAAAGACAATATGATTCCCTGGGGGAGACTCATGAATTTAGTCATATCACAAAAATATGCACCATGAAATCTATCCTAAAAATCTTGAAAGATGCGGTATTGATGACTGGTATCACATCTCTGTTTAATCTACCTCTTTGGTCCAGACAGAAGTTAAATCATTTGCATAAAGACTAGCTGTACCTTCTGAGGACAGTTTGTTTTTTAGTATAGAATGGAAGTTTGCTACACAAAGCTGTGTACAGATTGCTGTAGCCAAAAGGGCAGGTAGTTTCAGTTTCTACCTGTTGGCTCTCAAACCCATAAGCACGCTTTGTAATCAGCTCGATGATTCCAGAACCCCTTGCTCACCGGCTGCTGTGAATTTTGCCATTTGAGGAAACTAGTGGCACATGAGAAGGGAGGAGGAAGGGAGAAGCCTCTGTCCATCTCCCTCTTCCCCTGTCCTTCCTGACCCGTGCTTCTGAAGTGGCCGCATCTCCCTGCAATCCAAGCATGAGCAGTGGTCAGTCTGCCATAGTCATTGCTACACTCACAGCCCCATGCCACGATTCCAGCACTGGCCCAGGGGACTCCCCTTCACAGGCCCACCCCAGCAGGCCAGTCTGAGTACCCCACGTGGCACTGGCCACACAGCAACAAACGTGCTTTTGGATTCTGGTAAAACTACTTTCTCCTCTTTTGCCCCCCACTCGGATATTACTTATTTCTGGGTGACACCACCTGCCTGATTTGATCTTTGGTCCATCCCACACTTTTGTAACTTCCCTATCTTATGTCACCTCCATTTGAAGTGCATACTAAGATATCCACTTTTTTCTGATTGAACTCCAGAAGAAAAATCCTTCATTTAAAAAATGTCTTTCTGACAATTACACATGCATACCCCGCCCCACCCATCCTGGCTCCCCTCGCTTTCCTTGCTGCCCCATGCTGGTCTGCTTAATAAACACTTAATAAGTCCTTGACACCAAATTTGCTATTTCAAGTGGGAATTATAAAATCAAAATGCCCCAGCCAGGCAGTGCCTGTGGCTCAAAGGAGTAGGGCACCAGCCCCATGTACTGAAGGTGGCGGATTCAAACCCAGCCCCCGCCAAAAAAAAAAAAAAAAAAATTCCCCAACCAGGGAAACACACTGGACGTGTGCAAAACTGTCCTTACGATATGTCCTCACCCATCAGTTTTCACTGCCAAGGAACTGTTTCTCTAGAAGTGCAGAGACTAAGAACAGAGATTGGTGCATGTCCATCTGTTCTTACCACATCATTTTTGAATATTTGGCTAATAGTATCAAGAGAGTGGATGAATTCAGCATCTGCAGACAGAAGCAGTGCAGCCAGTCAAGTTCAGAAACTTCAATTTCCTCCCTGTTAGTACAGCCAACAAAGTTTTGAGTCAGGACCTTTCCCTTCAGACCAGTACTATGAGTCTAAGTCCTCAGAGGAAGAGTTCTGGGAAACTCGGTCACCCCAAAAAAGGCTGAAGGCTCTGACTCACAGCCTGGATATCCTGTGACTTGAACGCACAGTTTTTCTGTTTAACTGTACACACTACAAATAATTTTGAGACATATATTTAATGTGTCAATTAGAGTTTTAATGCTTTAAAACAAAAAAACAAGGACATCATCTGAAAGCACGAAAAGGCAGAAACAGTTGAATGGTGTCTAAAAGATTTTATGGAACTTCCTTCAGAAGCACATCTGGTATTTCACTTTAAGAATCTAATAAATATTTTAGAATGGCATTTCATTTGTTTTACAATGACATTTGGTATTAGAATGAAGAGCTGGAAAAGGAAATAAAAAAAGGTTCCCTGCACTACTCACCAGATTCATTATATTTAGACACCAAACTGATTTATAATGTTCATAAGAGTCACTTTAAATCACTACCAACGGCAGAAACTCCACCAGTGGTGCAGAGGTGAAGTCCCCTGAATCTTAAACATACAAATCCACAGTTGACGCTAAATGGCTTTCCAATTTATTTATTTAGCATATTCTATTGAATTGTACCTTAAATGATGCTATTCATTATTATTCCATAGGATGCCACTGGGAGAGGGGCCATTTCACGTATGACTAAGAAGTCCTTGATATAGAAAAATTATATTATTTTTAGTAAAGCCATATTTTTAAAGAGTCATTTGCCTTAAGTCCTTGAATACCCAGGATATTTAAAAACCTAAGGTCATTCTCAGCACAACATAGTCCTCCAAAAGCAGAAGCGAGTGAAACAGATCGGCAGGATTCCAGATCTGGAATATAAGGCAGGGTGGTGGTTTTCAACTCCGACTGTACATTAATATGAGTTGGGTGGGCATCCCGCCTCACCCCACCATTTCAATTATTAGTGCTTATCAGGAGTAAAACAAATGCAGTACAATAATCAAGCATGACTATGGGGCTGAGGAAAACAGGTGGATACGAATTCATCACTTTCCTTTTTGTTACTCTCCTGACAAACTCTAAGTGTTAATGGATCGCGATCTAAGGATTGACAGGCTCTGTTTTCTTTTAAGAATCTCCATCCTGAAGTTCATTAACCCCCTACAGTTTATGTCAAGTATTTGAAGATAACATAAACTGAAGCTCAGCTATGAAACAAAATAACATGACATTCAAGGAACACAGCCATTACAGAAGAGAAGCATGGCCCTGGAAATACAGATTCCAAGAGGCAACGACATCATAGATACACTGAGAACTTTAGCACATATACAAATTTGATGGATGTGCAAGGACATGATCAATACGAAAGAATAAAAATGACAAAAGAGAATCAAGCAGAAGTATTGTGTATTAAAAATTTAATAGCTAAAGTAAAGAACACAATAGGTGGATGTCTTTGGGCTTCACGTGGGACTTGTTTTGGCTAATGTGATGTGTTCAGACATGACAAAAGGCTTCAAATATGCCTGGTGGAGCATACGCTTTGTTCTTCTGCTATCTACACATCCTGGATAGAGCACTGGCCTCAGGAGGAAAGGAGAAGCACTTGGAGCAGACAGAGTCACCCAGTGACCCACAAACTCATGACTAAAAAATCAATGCTATTGCTATGATTATATATGTGCCACTACACACACACTCCATTATTAAGGCAATAATATATAATGATATAAGTAGCAAAATGATATAGCTGAGAATAAATTAATAAACTGGAATGCTGTGCTCACTTCAGCAGCACATATACTAAAATTAGAATGATAGAGAAATTAGCACGGCCCCTGCACAAGGATGACATGCATATTTGTGAAGCATTCCATATTTTTAAAAAAAATAAACTGGAAAGCCACATTGAAGAAATTTCTCAGAAGAAGGAAGCAAAGTATAAAAAAGAGGAAAATATAAAAGAAAATCAAAAAGATGTGGAAAGTGGAAATCACAGTGCTAATAGCTAGATAAATGGAATTTAAGCAAGAGACAGAAGTATCCAAAAAGGTGAGAAGACACTTCAAGAAATAATGGAGATGGCTCAGTGCCTGTGGCTCAAGTGGCTGAGGTGCCAGCCACATACACCCAAGGTGGCGGGTTGGAATCCAGCCCGGGCCCGCCAAACAACAGTGACGGCTGCAACCAAAAAATAGCCGGGTGTTCTGGTGGGCGCCTGTGGTCCTAGCTACTTGGGAGGCTGAGGCAGGAGACTCACTTGAGCCCAGGAGTTGGAGGTTGCTGTGAACTTTGATTCCATGGCACTCTACCCAGGGGGATAGCTTGAGGCTCTGTCTCAAAAAAAAAAAAAGAAAAGAAAAGAAAAGAAAAGAAAGAATGGAAATAAATTCCCAGAGGCGGTGGGGGTGGGGGGTGACTTCAGATTGAAAAGGCACAAGGACTGATAAAGAGGAAAGTTTTTTTTTAAGTTGAAACTGTACTTACTATAAGAGAAGAAAAACATTCTAAAATCTACAGAAAAGAACATCTCACATATAAAAGAAGGCAGTTGGCTTCTGATTTTTCCACGGCAACACTAGAAGCCGTGGGTAATAGAAACGTACATGATGCTATTGAACATCCATTCATGATAAAAAATGTCTTGATAAGGTGAGTATATAAAGTAAATAAATTAACTTGACAAAGATGATCAATTAAAAAAATCTAAATTAGGAGAGGAAATGTTGAAATCATTCATTTTGATATCAGGCACAATTCAAGGATGCCCCGTTTCCACTTCTCTTCAGCTTTGAGTGGTGGTCACAGCCAGAAAATGGAGAACAGAGAAATAAGAGACAAGACCTTAAAGAGGACAAAATAAAATTATAATTATTTGTTGACAATACGCTCTTTACATAGAGAACCCAAATAAATGACGAAAGAAATTGTTAAAAAAAATCTACTACAAACAATGTAAGAATTTAGCAAGATATTTTGTTAAAAGATAAATGTGTAGACATAAGTGGCCTTTCTATGCATCATCAGAAAACAACTAGAAAGAATATTGTACAAATGGTAGTATCAGAATACAATATCTCATCAAACAAAAAACATATAAGTATCCTACAAGGCAAAAATTATAATTTTATGGAAGAGATATTGTTTAAATCCTTAAACAGATATCTATATACATAAATCAGTAAATTATATCATGAAAATGTTGATTCTTATAAAACTAGCCAATTAAGTAAAATTAATTCTAATCAAAATTTTAGATATTGATTTTATTCTAATATACATACACAGGTAGTCATGCACCTCATAACAACATTTCAGTCAACAGTGGACTGTATATACAATAGTGGTCCCACAAGATTACAATGGAGCTGAAAAATTCTTATCACGAGATCCAGGAGAGACATCATGAACAGGTTAGCAATGAAGCAAAGATATCACACAAGTGAAAATGAGATGTGAACACGATGTACAGGGGTCTTCAAATCTAAGAATTTAAGCCTATTTCATAGGAGTTTCTGAAGGTTCTTGGGGCAGGGTAAGCCTCAAGGCTCTACCTCACATACTTCATGATCTTATTCATGAACAGAAAGACAAGGTCCACACACAAAAGTCACAGACACCAGGAACTAGCACAAACGGCATGTTGTACATGTGATGTGAAACAGTAAGAGGCTAAGTTGTTTCTTTTCTCTCAGAGCAAAAGGCAGAATACTGGAAAACATGTGCCAAGAATAGTGAGATTAAACACAAAGACGCCTTTTAGTTCTAACGGTGTATGATTATAAAAATTCAAGACCAAATATTTGGCAAGAGGAGGAAATAAGAGAACTGAGAATATTTACACCAGCAAGGTCAGATTTAGGCTTCTGTGTATCCAAGGCCCCTGTCAATACCATGTTACCAGCTCCATCTCTTAGCACGTTTTCTATCCACAATAATTCTTAGAGGGAAAAAAATACCCCTTAAAAGTTTGGAATAAACATCCCAGTACTCCACGTTTTCATGTTGTTCTTATTTTGTTTTATTTGACTCTTAGGAATTCTTCAGTGATACTTGAAGAATGTTTTTTTTTTTTTTCTATTTTCTCCACTTTGTAAAGTAGTAATAACAAACATCATTTCCTTTTTACCTAAATAGACTGAAAGTTTTCCATACCACAAGGATATTAACAAGAAATGACTTTAAAAAGTGTCATTCCATTGTTTCATAGCATGCTAAAAGAATGTTTCTAAAAAATAAATAAATGTAATTATGAAAAACTGCAATCTAGTATCCCTCCTCAGTCCCACTTCAAGAAGATTCTGAAATCATATCTGTACAATAACCGTTGGACAGTAAGAACAGTGAGCTCATTTGAAAAGTATGGATGCTTTTTGTGTTTGAGGAAATATTCCAATAACATCTCTGCCAGTCCTTCAATAACACTCAGGTGACTTTAGATAAATGTCAATCAAAGCTCTTTCCTTTTCCATCAAATATTGTCATGTAGGCCTAAACAAGAGAAAGGAGGTCAATATTTTCAGTGACCTTCTCAGCAGCTGGGCTAGCTTTCATTAGGTAGCTCATTAGTGCAAATAGGCTGATTGACAAGGTTACCCCAAACGGAGAAGTGGAGCCAAACAGATCATTTGCATATTATATTAATGACATTCAGAGTACCATTTGGTGTTCCTAGGGGGATAGAAGAACAAACTGTAATTTTCACAATCATTAATTGTTTAAAAGAAACTGCAGATTCTTATAACAGTTAGGATGGTTGAGGAATTTCAATTTAATGTAGAGTAGGAAGAATGCTATATAATTTTGGAACAGGAGGCCTGCTGTTCAATTATTTTACTTGAGATTAACTCTTCACAGTACCAGGCACACACTACTCTAGGGATAACACTGTCCACTAAGGTGAATTGCAGAGGCTCTTGCCCTAATGAGGGCCAAGGGTGAAGAGCAGAGACACAGATGCATGCCAATAAGTAATGGCAATTATCTGTGCATTTCATCCCTCGGAGAATCAATGTGAGTGCAAGTAACAGTGTTAGGATAGAATCTGACTGACTCCTTGCCTCCAAATTCCTGCAGCTCCCACAGTCTACTTAACCTTGGCCTTCAGCCTTGCTTTTACTGTAGATTTTTAATTAATTATCATCTTATTAGTTCTGGTTCCAGTTTCTCAGTGAGACCAGGAACCAGATTGTATTTTTGCCTACAAACTGGGGGTCTTAAAAAAAGAAGAGAAATTTATTCTATTACACTTCTGAGGCTGGTGTCTGATGCCAAAGCTGTTGACCAGACTGCGCTCTTCCAAAGGATCTAGAGAAGAGTCCTCCCTTGCCTTTTTCTAGCTTCTTATGGCTATTGCTAGAAATACCATTGCTGGCATTTCTTGGCTTATAGCTGCATCACCCCAGGCTCTTCCCCTCCTTCTAGGGATAAGTAACTTCCCTTTGTGGATTTCTCTGTGTCTTTACACAGCCTTCTTATAAAGATAGAATTTAAATCCTAGTAATATAGTTAGGATTATGACACATAAACATGTCATATACCTATATTTCCTTATATTTTCTTTAATTTTACCTTGCAATATATTATGGCCAAAGTCATGAACATATCTTACTAAATTTGTTCTTTAGTGAATTTTCTTTTATTTAGTCTAATGCAAATAATTATTTTTAAATTTTATTTTCTTCTCTATATGAATTGAATTTTTACATTGAGCTTCTATTAACATTTTGAACCTTGTTAACTCTCTTTTGAGCACTTGTTTGCTCTAAGATATACTCTTTAATTCCTGACCCAGCTGTAGTACACTTGCATTACCATAGCTCACTGCAACTTCAGACTCCTGGGCTCAAGCCATCCTCCTGCCTCAGCCTCCAGAGTAGCTAGGACTACAGGGACCCACCAGCTAATTTTTCTATTTTTTAAAATAGAGACCAAGTCTCACTCTTGCTCAGGCTGGTCTCATACTCCTGAGCTCAAATAAATCCTTGTGCTTCAGCCTCCAAGGGCTCTAGGATTACATGCATGAGCCACTACACCTCGCTAATTTTTCTATTGTGTTTTTTAATAGACACCAAGTCTCACTCTTGCTCAGGCTGGTCCCAAACCCCTGGCCTCACACAATTGCCTCCCATGTGCCACAATTTTAGTTCAGAAGCTCAGTAAGGGGTAGAATTTTCTATTATCTTAGTGTAATGAGTGTTAACTACATTGGGATTAAAATAGGGAAGACAACAAAAAACTCTCCAATTTGTCCTTTCTCATTCTCCAGAGTTCAAAACTATTCAAAATGCATATTCCAAAATGTGGAGGGTATTTTTCCATTTGACATTAACTAAATTTCATTATTCTATGAGTCAGTCAAACCAAATTTACTAAGCAGTAAATACAAAGGTAACTGAGGTCCTTAAAGGCTCTAACTCACATACTTCATGATCTTATTCATAAACAGAAAGACAAGGTCCACACACAAAAGTCACAGACACCAGGAACTAGCACAAACGGCATGTTGTACATGTGATGTGAAACAGTAAGAGGCTAAGTTGTTTCTTTTCTCTCAGAGCAAAAGGCAGAATACTGGAAAACATGTGCCAAGAATAGTGAGATTAAACACAAAGACGCCTTTTAGTTCTAACGGTGTATGATTATAAAAATTCAAGACCAAATATTTGGCAAGAGGAGGAAATAAGAGAACTGAGAATATTTACACCAGCAAGGTCAGATTTAGGCTTCTGTGCCTCTGTTTGGTGATCCTTCCACTTTCTCTCTCCTCCATCTTTATAGTGGATGTTTGAGGAAAAAAAAAAGTCAGGAGTCTCTATCACTGATTTCCTTAAAATTCACTCCTTAGTATATCGAAATAAGAACAATATTTACCTCCACAGCT